GTAATCGTTACCAGCTCTGGGGGTTATAAGACTTAGAAAATAGGCTCTGCTGAGTTCTAGAAAAAGAAGAGGGTGTTCCCCTTTAACTTGGTGTGTGGTAGGCTTCAGTGAGGTACAATAAGAGTGTAGAGATAGGTGAAAGAGAAAAAGAAAGTGTAGACATGAAAGAGAAGAAGAAAGTATAGACAGTGAAAGAGAAAGGAGAGAAGATGAAGATATAAGGGAAAGAGACAGAGAAAGTTTATCATAAGAAAGAGACAGAGGAAGGAAAAAAAGAAAGAAAGGCTAAAGAGAAAGTTTGCAAAGAAAGAGATAAGTAAGTAGAAACATTGTCCAGAGAGAGGTGAGTGAGAAAGTTAAAAGAAAGCTAGAGAGGCGAGATTACAGGCAAGAAGGATTGTGGCCAAAGTATAGGAGAGAAAGACAAGAGGTAAGATAGTACTTAGACAGACAGGAAATCTGGGTGACTGAAGGTGGAAGCCAAGTGGAAGAAGAGTGATACAGCAATGCTTACTGGAAAAAGATCAGTGTGCTTACTGTAAAGAGAAAAGACAAACCCCCTGAAGACAAAATTGAAGGCACAGATTAAGTTGGCCCAGACAGGACCAGAGATGACCTGGAGAACCCCCCACTTGCCTAAAAGCTAGAGAAAAAGAGTACCAGCTTCATGAGTTTCAAAAACAGCCAGAAGTCCCAGATATCAGTGAATGGCTAACAGAATTCCCACAAAGACATTTAACCTCTTCAGTTTGCTCCCACCAGAGAAGACTTTTAACATCATCAACTATTCAGCAGCCCCCTGACCAATAGATGAGCCTGTTGCCGACTGAAAGGATGAGCTTTTCACCACCGGCCATGTTGAATCCTGTCACCTTGCTGCCTGTGACTGATGACTCTTCTCCCATCCATCACTGTGTTGAACTGGTATACAGATGACAACAGAAGGTAAGCGGATGGTGGGAGCAGCGGTGGTAGATAGAAAGTGAGTACATGGTGCAATCTATAGACAAAGAGGACTGCTGACATCTGCAGAAATACTGAGAGCCTCTTCGAACCAAAGAAAGTGGCTGTTATCTACAGCCCTGGGCACCAGAGGGCTCAAGACATGACTGCCAAAAAAAGCTGCCCAGGGAACAATGATTCTAGCAGTTAAGGGTTCCAGAGACTATTTTGACACTTGAGATAGCAGTTTCAGATATCCCACCAACGACCATCAAGTGATAGACAAATTGGGCTTTTGTAAATTAATCCTCCCACAAGAAGAAAGACTGTCTGATTTGGTGAAAGCTGTGGTGAGATTGTGCCTTAATCAATGCAAGGCCTTCCATGTATACCATGGAAAAGAGACTGAAGGGCAACTGGCCCAGTGCTTACTGAGAGATGGACTTCACAGAAGTTGAGCTGACAAAATATGAAAATAAATATCTTTTAGTTTTTATAGACACCTTTTCAGGAAGAATGAAACTGCCAACATGGTGACTAAGAAGATCGTGGAAGAAATCTTTTCAAGGTTTGGAATACCCAAGGTAAGTGGGTCTGTTAATAGACCTTCTGTTGTCCAGATAAGTCAGGGGCTGGCCACACAGCTAGAGATTAATTAGAAATTACATAGGCTCCAGAGTTCAGGACAGGTAAAACAGATAAATAAAATATTAGCTTTTATTAAATACAGAATAGACACCTTTCAGCTATTGGTGACAAGATAGAGACATGGGATTTAAGAGAGATGAACCTGAAGATGATATTAATCTGTGATTTTAAGATTAAAATCCTTTGCAAATAGAAAGAGTAGGGAATGTAAGGGTAAGAATTAAAACAACTTAGCAGAGACCACAAGCAACTTGGCAAAGACCGCAGGACGGCTTGCTGAGCTTGCTGAGAATAGCCATAATAAAAATATCAAGCCCCTCTAGGGACGAGGTGACCAGAAATGTAGAAACAACCAAAGACATATCTTGACCAATCTAAACATGCCCAAGTAAGTAATGGGCCACCTGGTGTTTATCCTAGAAGGTCTGAGGCTTCATGGTCAAAAATAGTGGGCCATCCAGCCTGTCAAAATGATTGCTTACACAAAGTGCTGATGTTTGAAATATCCAATCATATGTAACCGCGCCAGAATTTCCCGCTTTTCCCTTCCCCTTTGTGTCTCCCCCTATAAAAGTTCTAAACTTCTTGGGGTCTTCTTCGAAATTCTCTCCCCTGTGTGGGATGAGTTTCGATCCAAGGGCCCTTGTTAGTAAACTGCCTTTTGCCATTGCATCAAGTCAGCCTCTCGTGTCTCCTTGGGTGCGTGCTGATCGGGACTTGAGTTGGGGGTCCTCTTTTTGGGTCCTTACAACATTACTGCTTGAAGCCTACTTCCTTGTCCTTGGCTAATGTCATGTTCCTGCCAAGCAGCCTTTTTCCTTGTCCTTGGCCCATGTCAGCTTCTTGCCGAGCAGCCCCAAAGGTTTTCCAGCTCTCCCCCTTTTTTAACCTGGGCCATATCTTAGGTAAGGCTACAGTAACACCTGGCCCAAACAGGGAGTAAATGGGTCCCATTGGGACCCAGGAATTCACTCCTGGCCCAGAGCACTGGTTCCTTCTGGTCTGGGCTCAAGCACTGAGCAGATCTTGGGGCTCAGCTCTAACCCCAGTAGCAACACCCACCTCACACAGTGCTGACACAACCAAAATAATAGGAAAGACAGGCTCCAGTAAGAGACAGGGCAGGTAACACTAAGGAGATCCAGATGGCAAAAGGCAAGTGCAAGAACATAAGCATCAACAACCCAGGTTACTTGCCATCATCAGAACCTGGTTCTCCCACACTAGAAAGTCCTGAATTCCCCATGTTACCAGGGAGGCAAGATTCAGATTTAAAATCACTTATAATGATAATGATAGAGGACTTTAAGAAGGACATAAATAACACTCTCAAAGAAACTAAGGAGAATACACTTAAATAGGTAGAGGCCTGTTAAAGAATTACACGAGAACACAACAATACAAGTGAAGGAATTGAACAAAACCATCCTGAACATAAGAATGGAAGTAGAAACAATAAAGAATCATAAAGGGAGACTTCCCTGGAGATAGAAAACCTAGGAAAGAAATCAGGAGTCATAGACGCAAGCATCACCAACAGAATACGAGACACAGAGAGGATCTCAGGTGCAGAAGATACCATAGAAAATATTGACACAAGTGTCAAAGAAAATGCAAAATGCAGAAAGTTCTTAACACAAAACATCCAGAAAATCTAGGACACAATGAGCAGAACAAACCTAAGGATAATAGGTATAGAGGAGAGTGAAGATTCTCAAACTAAAGGGCCAATAAATATCTTCAACAAAATTACAGAAGAAAACTTCCCTAACCTAAAGAATGAGATGCCCATAAACACACAAGAAACCTGCAGAATACCAAACAGACTAGACCTGAAAAGAAATACCTCCCATCACATAATAATCAAAACACTAAATGCCCAAATCAAAGAAAGAATATTAAAACCAATAAGAGAAAAAGGCCAAGTAACATATAAAGGCAGACCTATCAGAATTACACCAGACTTCCCACCAGATACTACAAAAGCGAGAAGATCCTGGACAAATGTCATATAGATCCTAAGAGAACACAAATGCTAGCCCAGGCTACTATACCCAACAAAATTCTCAATTACCATAGATGGAGAAAACAAGATATTCCATGACAAAACCAAATTTACACAATATCTTTCCACAAACCCAGCAATTCAAAGGATAATAGCAGGAAAGCTCCACTACAAGGAGGGAAATTATACCCTAGACAGAGGAAGAAAGAAATCCTCTTCCAACAAATCAAAAAGAAGGTAGCCACACAAAGATAATTCCACCTCTAATAACAAAAATAATAGAAAGCAACACTGTTCCTTTATATCTCTTAACATCAATGGACTCAATTCCCCCAATAAAAAGACATAGGCTAATGGACTGGATACGTAAACAGGACCCAACATTTTCCTGCATACAAGAAACCCACGTCAGTGACAAAGACAGAAACTACCTTAGAATAAAAGGCTGGAAAACAATTTTTCAAGCAAATGGTCCAAAGAAACAAGCTGGAGCGTCCATTCTAAAACTTCTAGGCTGAGAACACAAAGGAGGGACCCATGGATCCACCTGTATTTGAATATGGCCTTGTCAGGCATCAGTAGAAGTGGAGGGCCTTGGTTCCTGAAAGTTTGGATTCCCTAGTGTTGGGGAATTCGAGAGCAGGGAGGTGAGAATGAGAGGATGGTGGGAGCACACCCTCATAGAAATAGGAGGAGGGGGTTGGGATGAGAAGTTTTAGGGGGGAAAGGGAGAGGAGATAACATTGAAAGATAAATAAATAAAATATCCAATTTAAAAAAACAGATAATGGGTCTGGCAATTGTAGTAGAGCAGTGGAGACTTTTTGTCAACAATATTATGGGGATTTCGTATAGTCCTCAAGGACAAGGTATTCTGGAAGAGGCCCATGGAACTTTAAAAAGATTGGTGAGACATACTGTTGCTGAGAAAAAGAATGATGCCGACCTGTGAGCTTGCTGAGTGCCCTGACAAGGGTGACTGGGGAACTGTATTGGACATATGTTCCTTGCTGAGTGCCCTGACAAGGGTAACTGGGGAACTGTATTGGACATATGTTCCTGACCCACCTTTGCTTGACTATATCCCAGATGGGACAAGGTGCCTTGCCTCAAGTTTTTAGAACTTGTGGGATAGAGAATTGAAGAGAGAAATTATGTGTCTTGTATTCTTCTTAAAGGTGCTCAGCTATTAGGACTCAATCATGTACTGGTCTTGAAATCAATCCAATATGGGAAATAACAGTCTACTTTTGGAAGACTCAATCTGGACTTTGTCAGAGACATATATGGAAGCTAGGTGATCATAAATTCTTATGTAAATGTGTTTTTGCTGCTCTTAGTGAGTGGACAGGAACCAGTTTTACACACATAGTACTAAACCAAAGGAGACATTGATGGCACTTACCAGATTTTGGGTACGTGATGATGAAGACATCATCATCTCTAATTTCCAAATCTTCCATCTTTTCTAAAAACTCATTGTTCACAAAAGCTTTCTCAAAATTATATCCGTTAAAGTTAAACAAATATTCATTCATATCATCCATAATTATTTACCTAGAAGTAAAAACACAGAATTCATTTCGTGAATTAAGTATTTATTGCAATCCTGAACACTAATTACCGAGAAGTCAATAAGTGCCAAGCACCATCTAAGCATCTTATTTGTACAAATATTTACTCTAAAGAAACAAATAACAACAATGGTGTTAATTAAATACTATAATACTTTATTGTAGCCATAAATCACCTGACTATACATGAGGAAACAACTAGTAATAGGTGAAATATGTTTTCCTATAATTCCATGTGGAAAGGATTATAGTTCTACACATACAGAAGAGGAAATGTGGCTACACAGATGTCAACCAAAATTTCCAAAGTCACAGAGCTAGCCCCTCTAGAAGATTCATAACAAAAATTTGGGCACAGAGTCAATGCATTTAATCTAGAATATTTTTTAATTTTATTACCTGCATATTTTCATTCTGAAAAAATAAGAAATTATTTATTTAAGGTATGTCTTTTGTCTTTAATGTAGAGTTTGAATAACCTGATCTCTCTGAATGAGGCTTCTGGGACTTAGCTACTGAGTGGCTACTTGAAATTACTAATGCCAATGTGTGTGCTTCTGATAGGTTACTCACTTATACTTATAAGGTCTCCTATAAAACTTTTCATAATTTCAGTTTCCACTCAAAGAATCTGACATCAGAAATGTAACTGAAGTCTAAATAATAAATGAACTAAAATATACAGCAAACTATCCTAAGACTTACCTGATCTTCTCAGAGTTTGATCTGGATCTTCCAAAGAAGTCTCCCTCTACTTGAAGGTTACAATAGTGAGGGAATGCTAACAGTTCTTATATTACCTTAGCACTAGTGGTATTCTCTTGGATATTTATTTTTAAAAATGCTGTTTCTAAGAAATTCAATTTCATTAAATCTGAAAATATAGGATTCACTCAATAACATGTTAATAAACAACATAATTTGGTGTGTGGATGAACTGAGTGAGACAAGCACTCTCCATATAGTGTAGGCTGGCCCAGAACTTAATATGTAGATCAACCTACCCTCAATATGCATGAATGCTCTTGCCTATACTGGGATTACAGTCATGTGTAACATACTGGACTAATATCTCTACAAACATTTATCATATAGACAATCATTTACATTAGAATCACCTGGGTAAATCTCTGTGGGTACAGAACACAACTAAAAGTATCTAATTGAGGCCCTCCTCCCTGACAACTCAAATCTACCCATCCTGACTACAGAGTATTAGAGATAGAAAGGCTAGACTGAAAGAACACACACACACACAAACACACACTATTATTTTGGTGGACATATATAACAGAAAACATTGATATTGAAAAAGAAAACTTAAACTTGCCTCTTAAAGTATGTTAAAAAGAATAAACAAAATGTAACACTGATCAATGGCGAGTCCGTTCATAGAGAATATTGCTGAAGTGAAGAGGAAATAGAAGTGAGTCACTATCACTCCTCACCTATTACTCACAATACCTTCCACACACTCTGTAAATACCCATTTTGTATTTTACCTTGACATTCCTGGATAGGAGTGCCTGAATGCTTTTAAATGAAATTTTCTCTTGTTATTTTTTGTGTTCAGTCACAATACGTTGTGTTTCATAAGAAAGAAGAGAATGGGGAGACAGAGATGTTGGAGAAGAAGAAAAAGGAAAGAGAGCGAAGGAGAGATGAGAGAGGGTAGAAGGAAGTAGGGTGACAGGAGGGGGAGAATTTCATTCTCTAAAATGGGTGGAAAGTGGAAGTGAAGAAGGTTCATTTTGAAAATGGACATCAGAGAATTTTTGTGATGGAAGAAAAATGGTTATATAAAGAGAAGGTAAATAAGTATATGTACCCTTATCTTTTTCACTGAAACTCAAGAAAAGGAGGAAAACAACATTAGTGAGAAAAATACTGTGACAAAGTCTCCTCATGTAGCCCTGGCCATCATGAGACTCAGTATAGAAACCAGGCTTATCTTGAACTCACTGAGTTCTTCTTCTTCCAGTGTGTTTGGATTAGAATCATGCACCACCATCCACAGACTGTGCATACATTGTGCAGAAAGGAAGAACCTTGTTATTTTCTGAATCTGTTCTGTTCTACTCACAGTTTGCAGATGAACTGGTGAAGCAAAACCAGTTCTGATGAAATGTTAAGAGAAGCAGGAATTGATGGGCAGCTGAGGTATAAATATTCCCTGCCATGTTTATCTTGACCAAATGCAAGTGTTCTAAGCAAACTGAACTCACCTGTGATACTGTGACCTCTTCAGCCTCCACAGGCTAAACAGACGTAGAACATTTGCCACAACAGCCTTACTGGCCTGGACAGATAAATTTGCCTTGGCTCAGCTGCAAGTTTTGACTTACTGGAAATAGTGGTTACTGAGTGGTGGACACTTATCAGATTGCCTGTGGTGCTGTTGCTATCCTGCATTACACCCTGCTCTGAACTTGGGTTTTGTGGTTTTTCCCTTTTCAAGCACTGTGTTGATTATTAAACTTTAAGCTTTGATCAAAGGAGATCCCTGCTTGACCTTAAAACGCTGGACAGCTAAATGATTGGATAATATTTTTTTACATTGGGTAATATTTTTTTGGTAAAGAAAAATCATATCAGATGTTTTTAGGAGCATAAAAGTAGTTAAACATTATAAATATGTGGAAGATAAATTTCACTTTTAATTAATTATGAGAATTATTAGGTAATCAGCAAGTTATCTTTGACATCTATAGCTACAGCTTGCTGGGATAACTTCCAACACAGGATGATAACCAAATACTTTTAAGAATATCTCATTGGCTAGTTTTAGTTTTTCAGGGCTTTATTACTCTTGTCTTCATCCAAGTTTTGCTGGTTAGGTTTTTGTTTGTTTGTTTGTTTGTTTGTTTTGTGTTCAATTTGACACAGTCTACGTCATCTGAGAAGAGGGAACTTCAATTAAGGCTTTATCAGATTGGCCTATATGAGACTCAGTGGGACATTTTCTCAATTGATGATAGATGTAAAGAGTTGAGCCCACTATGTGTGTGCCACACCCTAATTGTTCTGAGTTATACAATAAAGAACACTAACCAAGCCAAGTAGAGAAAGCCAATAAGCAGCATTCCTCCATATTCTCTGCTTCAGCTCTTGCTGCAGGTCTTGTCTTAAGATCTTGCACTGACTTCCCTTCATGGTGGGCTATAAGCTATAGGATAAGCACTTTCCTACCCAAGTTTTTTTTAATCATAATTTTATCACAGCAACAGGGGAAAATTAAGTCACTATATGTCCTAGCTAGTTTTATGTCAACTTGACACAAGCTAGAGTTATCTGAAAGCGAAACACCTCAATTGAGTAAAGGCCTCCACAGGAACTGGCTATGAGGTATTTTCTTTTCTTTTTTTTTTTTGAGGTATTTTCTTAATTAAAGATTGATGGTTAAGGGATTAGGTCTTGGTAAGTGGTGCCATCCCTGGCCTGTCTTGAGTTTTATAAGAAAGCAGCCTGAGCAAGCCTAGAGTCCCAAGCAAGAAGCAGTACCCTTCCATGTCCTCCATATCAACTCCTTTCTCCAGGTTCCTGCCCTGTTTGAGTTCCTGTCCTGACTTTCCTTGATAATGCATGATGATATGGAAGGGTGAGTCAAATAAAGCCTGTCTTCTTCAAGTTGCTTGGTCATGGTGTGTCATCACAGCAACAGTAAACCTAATTAAGATGAATTGGTACCAGTATAGTGGGGAATTGCTGAGAAAGAACTTACCATGTTGTTTTTGAAGGATGTGAGAAAGACTGTGGAATTCTGGGATAGAAGAACCACTAAGTATTAAGAGTTCAGTGAGCTGTTATATAGGAATCTGTAAGATTAAAATGTTGAGAACAATGCAGAATGGAAATGTAGCTTGTGAAGTTTCAGAGGGAAGTGAAGACACTAGTGGGCCATTTATGTGAAGAATCTGTGGTATCTGGACAACTGAAACTGACGAAATGTCTATGATTAAACAGGAGACAAAACTTTCACTTGGCTGGGTCAATAGATTCTGGTCAGCTGGGACAGAAAAATCACCAAGGACTGATCACCTAGGATCAGAACCACCAAAGTAAATCTTTTGCCTTGCAAGAGAAATAGTTGCTGTTCAGCTCAGGCTGAAGATTTATTAAGACTCATCAGCACTATTAAGTGAAGTCTTTGGGGGAAACTTCCTCAGAGTCAGTTTATAGAAGCTATGTTCCAGAAGCAGACGAGGTTGTACCTCCCACTTGCATCTGAACTTAGTAGTTCAGAATCCCCCAGGTGGTATCGATTTTGAAGGCATAAAGGAGTTGTGGAGAGCAGCTGAGGCTTGACACAGTGTGGCAGGGCTGGAGTCTCCTGAAGAGAACCCAAAGAAGATATTTTTAAAATTGCAGTCCAGCTGCAGCAAGGGACCTTATTAGTTTTGGAGATGGCTGACACGGGATGACCACCAAGAACAGCAGCAGAAGTTGTGTAGAGCCTGGAATATAAGTTGTATGTGCTGCAAGACACCATAGAGGAGACGATCATAAGTCATTTCCAGAAAACGGAACATTGAGGTATTTACACTTTAGAGTATCTTGTAGTTTAAGGAGCTTCTTGAGCTTCTGAGTGTTTCCAAGTAAAATGGTCATATAAATAAAAAACACCCAAACATATGGAAAGTCTTGTTTCTATGAAATTCACAATGATTAAATGTGCCCTCCCCCTAGCCTTGAGCAGGCTTGAAAGACCTTGTTTACCACAATAGACCAAAAATAACAGGACCTAGGTGGAGTTTTCCTCCTTGGCTGCACGACAATTGACACTTAGGTCGAGTTACCCACCTTGGCTTCATGTACAGGACCTTAGAAGAATGATTGCCCACTGAGCTTGCCTTGAGATGCTGAGTTTGCCTTGTGACATCTCCACTGTGACAAAGGATAGGTTCCTCCATCTATCTCCTCCTCTACCCATCTCCAGCAGTCACCAAGGATGAGTTCCCCCACTCATCTCTGGATGAAACAAGAGGGTTTTGGTGGGGCTTCCTCTTTAAATTGAGAACTAAACATTAAAGCATTGAGCCTTGAACAGAATACTTTGTATTGTCTTCATCTCTCCTCACACTCTGTCCCCCTTTCATTCTCAGCCCCCCTTTGAGGTGAACCCAGTTGATTTGTGGCCACAGGCAGCTACAGGTGGTGCCCAACATCAGGACTGAAAACGGGGAACAAGTTGAGGAACACAGACTTGGGTAGAGCTCCATGGAAAACAGAACAAGAAAGAGAGTATCCTGCGCACTTGGTAAGCAGTGAACAACACTGATACTAGCACTAGTTATAGTTATTTTTTAGAGTCTGTGTTTGCAGAAAGTGTGTTTACAGGGATACAGTCTAGGTTGAATAGGTGTTGACCCAATGCCGACCACACCTATGTGACAGCGAATTATGGGGCAGGAGAATTCTGAACAGGCATTTTCCCACAGCCTGCAAGAGCTGCTCCAGACAGGAGGAGCAATGTTTTCAAATCATATGTTAGAAAAATTCTTGGCAGAAATAAACTCATGCTGCCCATGGTTCCCATAAGAAGGAACTCTGAATAAGAAAACATGGGAAACAGTTGGAGAAGTTTTGAAAACCACCCAGGCAGATCCAAACTCCCTCTGCCTCTGGGAGCTCATAAAAGATGCTATTGATAATTAAATAGATAAAGAGATCTTGCAAGCCTTAGCTGCTGCCCAGGCACAGCTTGAAGAATTCCAAGAACTCCTATCAGATAGTGCTTTCACAAAAAAAGGACCTCTCAACTCTAAACCAGAAAAATATAGACCTAGTGCTCCTTTTATAGCTCAAATTAAAGACATTAGAGATGTTGATGATGAATTAACCCCGGAGTAAGGAACTTATTTAAAAGAAAGGGCTGCCAAATATCACAATGAGTCTTGACCTCCCTGTGCACCTTCTGCTCCACCTATGGTGTTTGATGCAGCAGAAGCAGCTGAGATCGACATGAAGGCATATAAATTAGAGATGGAAATTAAGCTGCAGAAATTGACTAATGAACTACAGGAGTTAAAGTGTCAGGTGCAAAAAAGAGCAATGATTTTGAGATGCACCAATCGGTGCTAGAAAGACCTGTGATTAAGGCTTACAGGGATGGGCAAGATACATCTTATGTGTTAGCTTTTCCTGTAGTTGATGTAATTAACCAACAGAACAAAAGAATCAAACAATATCAGACATTGGAGTTCAAAGTGATAAAAGAGTTAAAAAAAAAAAAACAACAGCTGTGGCACAGTATGAGCCTACTGCCCCCTTCACACAAACTTTATTGGATACTGTGGTAAAAGCAAATTTAATGTCCCAAGATTGGAAAACTATATATAAGGATACTTTGTCAGGAGAAGATTACTTGCTTTGGAGCTCAGAATGGCGTGATACTAGTAAGAGAACCACCATGATGAATGCTCAGGCAGACAATGCAGATTGGGATATTAACATGCTTCTAGGAGGTCAATATGAAGGTAATGCTAATGAAGTCAAACTTTCTAGAGGAGTGTATGCACAGATTGCAATGCCTGCTCACCGTGCTTGGTATCAATTACCTACTAAAGGAGATCTTAGTGGGAATTTATCTGGTATTAAACAAGGTGCTGACGAACCATTTCAGGAATTTGTATACAGGCTGCTGAAGGCAGCTGGTAAAATTTTTGGAGATCCTCAAGCAGGAATTCCTTTTGCTATACAATTGGCTTATGAGAATACTAATGCAGCCTGCCATGTAGCTATCAGGTCATACAAAGCAGAGACAGAGTTACCTGGATACATTTGTCTTTGTACTGAAATTGGGCCCTCTTGCGATCTGGGTCTGGCCATGGCTGCTGCCTTACAAGGGATCACTGTACAAGCAATGCTTGCACAGAACCACAAAGATAAAAGATGTTTTAAATGTTGGGAATTAGGCCGTTTTAAAAATGACTGTCCCAAGAACAAAAGCACGAGCAAACAATCAGGTCACGTGACAGAAATGTGTCCTTAGTACAAGAAGGGTTATCATTGAGCTAAAGAATGTAGATCTAAAACAGATGATCATGGGGGTCCCTTGTCAGGAAAAAGAGTGGTGGGGCCAGCCCTAGACCCCGAGGAGTCTACAGCCAACAGCTTATGGGGCTATGAACCTGTTGCCAAGCCAGAAAAATCCATTTCTAAACTTATTAGAACAACTCCAGAAAGTACAGGACTAG